CCTCCGTGCCCGAGGGTCCCACAGCGCTGCTTTGTCTCCTGCCCAGGGAAGTGGTTTGTGAGCACGGGGAAGGACAACCTGCTCAACGCCTGGCGCACGCCCTACGGAGCCAGCATCTTCCAGGTGAGGGGCTGGGGAAGCTCAGAGCGGGGGCTGCTTCCCCCCCACCACCCTCACCCCCATCCCCTCTCCTTCCAGTCCAAAGAATCGTCTTCGGTGCTGAGCTGTGACATCTCCATCAATGACAAATTCATTGTGACTGGCTCTGGTGACAAGAAGGCCACGGTGTATGAGGTGGTGTACTGAGCTCCCCGCTGTCTCTGATGCTCAGATACTCGGAGGCTGAGCCCCCAGGCCCCCAGTGCCGCTGCAGCCCCACTGCACTCTGAGTTGCTCACTCCTGGTTCTCTTCCTGCAAGCTGGGGAGCAGCAGGTGACACCTTGTGCCCCCCCCCCCCCTTTCCTGATGCTTGATGGAGGGGGGCTGGTTGGGGTGAGGGATGCAGGATCCCCTCCAAGCAGGGGGATGGAGGGCAGGGGGTGGTCAGATGTCAGTCTGTCAGTCTGGTAAGGAAAGGGGACACAGCCACGAGGGGCAGGAAGCTCAGAGCCTCGTGTTTTCCCTGCCCTCCCCCCATTTACTGCTACTGATTCAATGGCACCAATTTTCTGCTGCAGCCCCAGCTGTGAATTATCAGTAAAGAGATGTATTTAATGGCGTTTTCAAATCCTTACTAATAAAAAAAAAAACAAAAATGAAAGAGTGGTTGCTGGGGTGGTGGGGGGGGGGGCTGAGTTCCTCTAGGGCACCATGGGGTGATGGGGAGGACCTTGATTTACACGGGGACTCGGCCCCTGGGGGTGCTGAAATGCCATGAGGGGCTGAAATGCCCTCTGTCCCCCCCCGGCTCCGTGCAGAGCAGCCCCCAGCCCCATCAGCCCCTGCCCTGCGATGCACCGCGCTGCTGTTTGCTTTTTATTATTAAATTATGCCCTGGTTGGGTGCAGGGGGAGATGAGGAGAGCTCTCATCCTGCCCAGCATTTAACAAAAAAAAACACAAAAAAATGACATTACAAAAGAAAGCCCCCTTCGCTCCCCCAACCCCCGTTTAGAAACAAACCAACCAATAACGAACCAAAGGAGGAGGAAACCTCTGGGAAGGGCCCTGCGAGCAGCAGCTGCCTCCCAGCACTGCAGGGTCCCCATCGCCAATGGCTCCAGGCCTGGGCTGCCACCCCTCTGCGTCAGAGTCCGTCTGTCCGTCCCCATGGCTGTGAGTCCGTCTGCTCTCAGGGAACAGACCCAGGCCGTCACCTCCGTGTCTCTCAGTAAATGACTTCGTAGACCGTCGCCTTCTTGTCTCCGGAGCCGGTGACGATGAACTGATCGTCGGTGGAGACGTCGCAGCTGAGGACGGAGGAAGTTTCCTTGGACTGCAGAGAGGGGAGGGCAGGGCTGGGTGCCGGCACCAGGGTGCAGGGCTGGGTGCTGAAGGAACGCCGATGGCGCCGAGCGGCGCTGGGGGCAGCTGGGCTCACCTGGAAGATGCTGGCTCCGTAGGGCGTGCGCCAGGCGTTGAGCAGGTTGTCCTTCCCCGTGCTCACAAACCACTTCCCTGGGCAGGAGACAAAGCAGCGCTGTGGGACCCTCGGGCACGGAGGGGAGGGGGCTGCAGGGACCCCCAAAAAGGAAGCAGGCGGCGCCCGTACCGCAGGCGGCGAACTTGAGGGAGAGGACGCAGCTCTCGTGGAGGTGCAGCTGGTATTTGTCGGGCTTGGTGACGTGCAGGATCTCCACGTTGCTGCTCTCCATGCCCACCGCCAGCCACTCGCCCGTCGGGCAGTGCCCCAGGGAGAAGATCTGGGGGCAGGCAGGGGGAGGGCAGGGCTCGGATAGCGGGGGGGGCTCGCACCCATCGGGGGCGCCCGGCGCCTACCTGCGAGCTGAAGTCGTGCTGCTGCAGCTGCCGCCCCTCCCGCAGGTCCCAGCAGCGCACCGTGTTGTCCAACCCCCCCGTCCACAGCTTGGTGCCATCGTTGGAGATGTCGATGCAGCTGGCTCCGTCCGTGTGGCCTTGGAACTGCCTGGGAGAGGAGAGGGACAGACATGGGATGCGCAGGGCTGTCAGCGCTGTACAGCACAGAGGAGGACGTGGGGTTCCCCATCTGGAGCTGCGCCATGCAGCACCCACCGGACCAGGCTCTGGTTCTGCAGGTCCCACACCACGATGTTGCCGTCGCTGCAGCAGGAGAAGCAGACTTTGGCGTCGGGGCTGATGGCCAGGGCGTAGCAGGCAGGGGCGGAGGAGGTGAGCTCGGCCTTGATGCGGGGCGTGGGGGCCGCCAGGTCCCAGATGGACAGGGTGCTGGCCTCCCCCCCCACGATCAGGCTGCGGCCGTCGGGGAGCAGCTTGCAGGAGCGGATGTAGTTGTCGCGGTTCTGCGGCGCGGGGAGGGGAGCAGAGGGGGGAGCAGAGGGGAGCAGAGGGGGGAGCAGAGGGGGGAGCAGAGGGGGGAGCGCCCGTCAGCCCCTTCCCCGGCAGCCCTCAGCCCCTCCACGACAGCAGAGCGGGACGGGGCGGCGCACGGCCCCCGAGCGGGGAGCCCCGCGTTTGGACGGGGCGGCGTGGGGCGGCGGGGACGTCCCCAACCCCATCCCCGCGCCACCCCTTCGGGACCCCCGCGCTCTCCTCCGCCCGTTCGTCCCCGGCCCCCCGCGGCCCCCCGGCACGCAGCCCCTCCCCGCCCCGCGTACCAAGCAGTCCAGCTGGGCCACGGCCGTCTTGGCGCCCGGCTGCCCCACGTCCCACACCTTGACGCAGCCTTTGCCCCCGGTGTAGACGTGGCGCGTGGAGTTGCTGATGGTGACGGCGCAGACCACCTCGCCGTGGGCCAGGCTGTGCAGCTGCCGCGCATGCCGGGGGATGCCGGAGCCCAGGAGGGCGTCGGGGGGGAACGGCACCGGCTGCATCTGCCCGTCGGCGCTGACGTGGAAGGAGTAGGCGCTGGGAAAGGGGACGGAGCGGTGACGGAGCCGCGCGGTGCCACGGCGGGGCCACCCGGCGCCGTGCGGAGAGGAGCGGCGATGGGGACGGCGCAGCAGGGAGGGGACGGCCGGCGTCGCCCCACAGAGGGCCGTCCCCACTGCTGCGCTGCCATGGCGGCGTCCCGTCCCCCCCCCTTCTTGTCCCCTCCGTCCCTCCATCTCCACTTACGGTTTCCCCGATGTCCCCACTTGCATTCCGGCCGCCAGCCCAGCCACGCGCATGTGAGGGTGAGGGTCGTAGCCGACCTGCAGGGCACACAGGGTGAGCACAGCTCCCCAAAGCCACGCTGCCCCACTGGGAGGGGGGAAACGCACCAGTGGGGATCGGCCATAGGTGCCGGCGGCCGCGGTGCCGTTGAGTTGCGGGGACACGAGGTGCAGGCTGGCGTAGGCGCCCGCCCCAGCCATGTCCCCATTGACAGCGGGGTGAGCCATGCTGAAGGAGTAGGGGCTCTGCACGCCCAGCGGGGTCCTCAGGCCCAGGGCTGTGGGGAGAGGAGGTGTCAAAGGATGGGGTCGTGGGTTTGGGGCTGTGCTCGGTGCTCAGCGATGCTCACCCAGGGAGTCCACGGGGGCTTTGGCTGCAGTGGGGCGGAACTGTTGGGCACCGCTGGATCCCGGCGCTGCCGCATCACCCTGAGATGTGGGGGTGCTGGACTTGAGGCTGGGTGTCCCTGCCTTCTCCACCTATTGGGGCAGAACAACGTCATGTCCCCGTCCTCCACCCACACCAACGCCCTCAGTGATTCCCCCATCCCTAAACCCAGCACGCTACAAGGGGAGCCCTCTGAACCTCCAAGCATCACCCTTTACTCCAGGGCTGAGGGGCAGCAGGACTGACGCCCATGGGACACCCGGTGGGCTCAATGCACGAGGGGTCACCCAACGGGACATGCAGTGGGGAGCCCAGCGTTACCAGGGCCCAGTGGGACCGGCGTGGCGCTCGTACCATGGCTGCGTCCTTGCTGCGCGATGGGGACGCGCTGCTGGAGGAGGCCATGGAGGTGGGGCTGAGCGGCGCCGGCTCCTTCCGCCCCAGCGGCAGCTTCTCCAACCCGTTCTCACGGGAGGAGTAGGAATGGACGCTGTGTGGGGACGAGGGGTCCTGCGGGGGGAGGGACATCAGCAGAGCAGGGATGGGGGGCATCACCCCGATCCCATCCCTGCAGCTCCCGCGCTGACCTCATCCACCACCAGGTTGTCTTCGCTTTTGTCCGCATCGCTGCCCTACAACACGGCAATGGGTGCTTGTGGGTGCCCGGCCGGGGGGGGGTTGGGACGTGCCAGCCCCCCTAGTTCCCTCCCTGCACTCACATAGTCTGTCACAAAGTCCTTCTCCTCCACCTTCCTCTTTTTGCTGCTGCTCAGGTACTCAGAGATGGCTCGTGCCCGGTCCCCGTTGGGCAGCACCAAAGAGCTCTGGGGCAATGGAGCAGTGTTAGGGGCAGTGTTAGGGGCAGGGGGTCCTATGGCAGCCCCCACCCCACCCCACATTGCAGGCTGGTGAAGGAATGGGGGTGGGGATGCCGCTGGGGGGTCTGCCAACACGACATTGGGAAAGGGGATGTGGAGGGGATGGGAAAGGCACTTACAGGACCCGGGTCTCGCTCTGTCTCCATGGTGATGCGGATGCGCAGCAGGACCGGGATGAAGCAGGGACACGGCTGTGCTCCTCTCGTGGGTACCAGGACCCCCAGCTCAGCCTTGGGGACGTCCCCGACCCCCCCGGGCTGAGTCCTCCCCACCACCTCCAAGAGGTGCCCACGTGGAGGGGGGGGGGACACCTCCCACTCCCCCGCTCCCAGCCTGAAGGGAAGCATCCTCCCTACGTGCCCCCCTCCGGGTCCCCCCTTGGATCCCCCAAGCTCACCCCTGTGCTCGCCGTCGTGGACCCCACGGTCATCCTTGGTGAGGAGCTGGGCCCCCCCCAGCACCCCCGAAAGCGCCAGCAGCCCCGAAGCGCTGCCCAGCCCGGCCAGGGTGGGGGGCTGCATCCCAGAGGGGTGGGGGGTCAGCGGGATGGGGGGGGCGTGGTGCGAGAGGTGCTGCGTTTGGAGCTGGTGCTGGAGGGGGGAGGTGAGGGGAGAGAGCAGAGCAGAAGGGCGCGGGGTCAGGGGGAGGATGATGGGAGGGGGCTGGAAGGGGGTCGGGCTTCCAGGGAACCCCCAGGCCTGTGGAGGGGGCACCGCATCCCACCCACTGCCACCTCCTGGGACTGGTGGGGCGCTGCCCTCAGACCCCTCCCACATCCACAGCACTGTGGTCTCAAGGGAAAGATGGGGACACAAGGATGGTGGTGACCCCTCCCTACGGCCCCCAGGGCACGGCACCCCCACACTTCAATGCCACTATGCTCCCAACCCCTTTACTGCTCTCTGGTCCCCACTGCAGCCTGGCTGTGCTTCCCCACGGCTTTGGGGGGGCTGTGGGTGCCCCCAAAATGGGGGTCCGCAGCCCTGGGACGGTGCCACCATCACCTGCAGGTTCCCAGCAGGGAGGTTGGGGGGGGGGGCAGAGGGTCGACGTACCCCGATGGCCGCGTTCAGGTCGCTCATAGTCACCTGCTTGGCACGCTCCACTGCCTGGACCACCTGCTGCTGGTGCTGGGGGGGGGGGGGAAAGGGGGGGATGGAGAGGGGCTCCCCCCAGCCCGGTGTGCAGGGTTTGGGGTCTGCGATGGGAGCTCAGCCCCCCCCCGGTGTGGGGACACCCACCTCCTGCGATAGGAACGGGATGAGCTGCGCGCAGATGACGTTCAGCCGCTTGGCGATCTCCGTCTGCAGGGAAAGGAGGAGAGGGACCGGCAGGGTGAGACCCCCCCCACCCCCTCCCCATCGTCCCTATGGCTGAACTCCTTTTACTGAGGGGCACTGAGACCCCTCCCCAGGGTCCAGCCTGGATGCTCAGCCCCCCGAAGCTGATACAGCCCAGGGAGGAGCGGGGAGCTCCATCACCGCCCATCAAACCCCGTATCACCCCAACGAGGACCCCAAGTTCCCCCCCCCTCGCCCCCAAGACAGCACTGACACTGCAGTGCCATGGCAGCGTGGCCCAAGCCATGTGGGGACACCAGGATGGGGACACAGAGATGGGGAACGGTGAGATAATGGGGATAGCAGGATGATGGGGACACTGGGATGGGGTTACAGAGAGGGGGGACACTGGGGTGGGGGATACCAGGGTAGGGATACTGGGATGATGGGGACATCGATATGAGGGGGACACTGAGATGGGAGAAGTGGGATGGGAGACAGTGGGATGGGGGATTTGGAGATGGGGGGGCACAGGGATAACAGGGACACCAGGATGGGGATATCAAGATGTAGGGAGGGGACACCAGAATGATGGGGACACCGGGATGATGGGGACATCAATATGAGGGGGACACTGGGATGAGAGACAATGGGATGGGGATACCAGGGTAGGGATACTGAGATGGGGGGCACTGGGATGATGGGGACACTGGGATGATGAGGACATCGAAATGGGGAGGGACACTGAGATGAGGGGTGACACCAGGGTAGGGATACCAAGATGGGGGACACCAAGATGACGGGGACACCGAGATGATGGGGATGGCGGAACAGGGAATGTTGAGATGGAAGGGACACCGGGATGATGGACATCAGCATGGGGGACACGAGGACGGTGAGGACACTGGGATAACGGGGACACCGAGATGGGGGGCGCCCCGGGATGACGGATGGCAGGAACACCTTTCTGCCGCCCCACCACCCTCAGCACCACCCTCCCTTCTGAGGGAGGGAAAAAAAGAGGAGAGAAAAGGCAAGAAGAAGAGGAGGCAAAGCAGCGCAGCGCGAGCAGCACGGCGGCAGGCGGCGGTTCTGGGAAGGATTTAGCTGCCTCCCGGGGCCGCCAGTGATGGATTCTCTCCCCTAATGCACTGATGGGCAGCAGCTCCTCGGGGAGAGCTGCCTCCAATTCACTCGCGCTCGTTAATGTGCAATTTAGTGGCACTTTAACGCTCTCAGCATGAAAAACGATCGCGCTGCTCGCAGCCCCCCCTCCCCCCCAGCAGCCCACCCCCCCCCATGGCCACCAGCGCTGCCACCGCCCCTCGTGCTGCTCCATGCAGGGAGGTGGCTTTAAGGCTGCTTCCTTCCCCCCCTTCCAAAAAAAAAAAAGGGAATATTTCCCACCTGGCCGCACGGTTCTCCTGCCAACAGCAGCACAAAGCTGGGAATTAAATGCCCATGGGGACAGGGCAGAGCCCCCCCCTCCTTGGCCATGGGGTGCAGACCTCAAAGTGGGCTTTTGGTGCACTGGGGGTGAGGGGAAGCGGGTTGGGGGCCCCCCCAGGTGGGCTCACCTGTTTGTGCATCTCGATATTCAGCCCGTAGGACATCTCATAGTACTGCGGGAGAGAGCAGAGCATCAGTGGGGCAGCGGGGGGGGGGAGGATCCTACAGCTGGGATGGGGTGGGGGGACCCCAATTTTGCCACCCTTCCCACGAGCTGCAGCACTCAGATGCGGCTCATTTTGGGTCAAAATATCCATTGTGGGGGGTGGGGGGGTCACAGGGGGAGCCCCATAACCCGGCTATGGGGGGGGGGGGGGGTCACACTCTGGCAGTTCAGAGGAAATTCTCGCTGACCATCACGTAGTGTCGCTGGATTTCGGTTTTCTCCGTCGCCAGCTTTTCGCATTCCAACTTCAGGCTGTAGAAATAAAACATAATCACAGATAAAACATCAGAGAGACCCCCCCCCCCCTCCCCCCAACCCCCCAAATCCGCTCCCACATCCCAGGGCTGAGCAGCTGCATCCCAAATGGGGCCGTGCGACACAGTGTCACCTCCTGGCACCGCCGCCCCATCGCTGTCACCAACGGACGGATGGCGTCCATCCACCCCCCGGCCTCACCTGTGGTATTGGTTCTGCAGGAACTGGAACTCCTCCTTGATGCGATCCAAGGTCTCGGGGTAAGTCAGCTTGAGGGACTGTGGGGTGGTGGGGCCTGAGGGGGCCGAGGGGGCCGGGAGGTGGCCCTGAGGATGGGAAGGGACAGTTGGGGGGCGCCGTCACCACCGCCGGTCCCCAAACCCCAGGGATGAGGCTGTGGGGACATTAGGGATGGCGGCACGTGCAGGAGGAGGTGGCCACCGTGGTCCCCGTGCCACCACTGGCCCTGTAGCACTGCTGTGTCCGTGTCACCGTGGTCCCTGTGTCATCACTGTCCCCATGTCACTGCTGTCCCCGTGCCATCGCCATCCCTGTGCCACCCCTGTCCTCATGCCACTGTGGTCCCCGTGCCATCACTGTCCCTTTGCCATCACCACCCCCATACCATTGCTGTCCCTGTGCCACCACCATCCCTGTACCACTGCTGTCCCCGTGCCACTGCCATCCCCGTGCCATCGCTGTCCCTGTGCCATCCCCATCCCCATCCCCATGCCACTATGGTCCCTGTGCCACCCCTGTTCTCACGCCACTGCCATCCCTATGTCACTGCGTTCCCTGTACCATTGCTGTCCCTGTGCCATCATTGTCCCCGTGCTGCTGCCATCCCCGTGCCACTGTGGCACCCATGCCATCCCCATCCCCGTGCCACTGTGGTCCCTGTGCCACCCCTGTCCTCGTGCCACTATCAGCCTTATACCACTGTGGTCCTTGTGCCACTGCTGTCCCTGTGCCATCCTTTTCCCCATGCCGCTGCCATCTCCGTGCCACTGTGGTCCCTGTGCCACCCCCGTCCCTTTGCCACCGCCATTCCCATACCACTGCTGTCCCCATGCCATCACCATCCCTGTACCTTTGCTGTCCCTGTGCCACCCCCATCCTCATGCCACTGCTGTCCTTTTGCCATCACCATCCCTGTGCCATCGTCACCCTCCCCGTACCACCACCGTGCCTCCACTCCATACCCACTGCCCCCATTCCCCCCCAGCAGCGATGGGGGATCCCGGCCCCACATTACCGTCGCGCCCCCCCCCCCCCCCCTCCCCCCAAACCCCCGCCCCACACAGCGCTCCCTTATGGGGACCATCGCGGCCATCCCACGGCCACGTGCGCAGCAAAGGGACGTCGCTCACCGGCGGCCGATTTTGGGGGAACATCGCCGGCACCGGGCGGACCCGGGCCCCCCCCCAGCTCCTCTCCGCACCGCGGATCGGGACACGGGGATGCGCTCCAGCTCCGGCTCAGCTCCTGCAGGGGGTTGGAGGGGGGGGGGGTGGAGGGGGGAACAACGCGACGTGCCCGCTTCGGGAGGGGCACAGACAGACAGACAGGCAGACACACAGCCCCCCCCACCCCCCCCACGCCCCGGTCCGCTCCCCCCGCACCGCACGCCTCGCAGACAATGGGCCCCTCCGACACCGCAGGTACCGCTGTGGGGGTGGGGAGGGGGGAGCGGGGCCACCGCCCATCCCTGAGCGAGAGGAGAGGAGAGGGGGGAGGTGGGGGCACGGAGCGGAATGGGAGAAATTGGATTCGGGATGGGACGGGATGGACTCACCGCGCCGCTGAACCCGATCCTTACGGGGGTCCCGAACCGAGCTGGGCCGAACAGAGCCGAACTGAGCCGAGCGGAGCCGAACTGAGCCTAGCGGAGCTGTGCGGGGCTGAGCGGAGCCGAGCTGGGCCGAAGAGAGCCGAACCGGGCTGAGCCGAGCCGTGCCGAGCCCCGAACCCCGGGCCGAGCCCCGAACGGAGCCGAGCGGAGCCGAGCGGAGCCGAACGGCGCCGAAGCCCCCGCCGGGCACCGCCACCCCCCCCCGCGCGGCCGCCGCTTTGCGGAGGGCGATCAATGAAGGAGCGCGGCTCCACGTGGGGCCTGGCCCGTGCGGGCGCTCTCGGCGGCCGTTGGCCAATAGGAACGCGCGCTGGCGGCCCGCCCCCACGTGGGACGCGCGGAGTTGGCTTCCTATTGGTAGAGGGAGGAGGACCGGCAGGAGGATGTGTCAATCTGCGGGGACAGCGCTGCGGGGGGGGAGGGGGGGAAGGGGGAAATGGGCGTTAACCCCTGCGGTGCCGGAGGGCAGCGAGCGCAGGGAGCGTTGGGGGGGGGGGGGGGGGGCTGAGATTTGGGCCCCGACATCCATTTTAAGGCGAAAAAATAACCAGAGATCCCCGCTCTCTGTCCCCTCCCTCCTCGGGGGGGGGTCCCGTGTCACCCATAGGTGCAGCGCTGCCACAACCCCGCCCCCCGGGACCCCCTCCATGGGATCTGCCCCCCTCCCCCCCCCCATCCCCACCCCTTTTCCCACCCCCCCCTTCCTGACCCCCATCCCCTCCCCCCCCCATCCCCACCCCGGTCTTTTTCTCAGGGTTCCCCCCCCCGGGTTTGGCCGAGGTCACGTTAGGGCAGCAGCGTTGTAAAAGGGAAATGTAAATATCTGCGTATCCAAACAACCCCCCCAAAGGAGAGAAAGCTGCGCAGGGCGGCACCGTTCGGCTCCAACCTCCCAACCTCCCCCCCCACAGTGGTGGAAACCGTGTCCACCCATAGGGCAGACTGGGGGGGGGGGGGGGGGTTCCTTTGGGTCCCAGGTTTTGCAGTGGGATTTCTGTGTTCGGGGGGGGGGCTTTTAATGAGAGGGGAGGAGAGGAAACGATTTTAAATGGGAAGAAATTCAGCCTGTGAGGGCCCGGAGGGGGGGGGGGGGGGGGAGATGATACACACAGGCCGGTGCAGGTTGTTCAGGGCTCTGGATGGGGCTGGGAGCTGCCTGCTCGTGGGGGGGGGGGGGGGGGGGTATTCCTGCTTATGGGGGGGGTTGGCACGATGTCTTTGACCTCAGGGCCGCAGGTTGGGGTCGGGGGCACGGAGCCGGGATGGAGCATCACCCAGCAGGAGGGTTTTCCCTTCCTCCTTTTGCTCTTCTGCTTCTTTCTGCCTTTCCCTCCCCCCCTTCTCCCCTCTCCAATCCTTTCGCTTTATTTCCCAGCCTGATCAAAGCTCTCTTTGTGGCACCTGGAACGTTTCGGCGTTTTCACAGCACTGGGGGCGCACGAAGACGGGGATCCCCGGATCTCTGCAACCCCCCCGGGGCGGGGGGAAAAGAGGGGGGTGGGTCGGAGCTCCGGGTTTTGCGGGGGGGACGCTGGGGGGCAGCGGCTGCAGCGCGGCTCCTCGGATCCCTACCGCCCTCTGCCGCCCGCTGCCGCTGCGGGGATTTTCCTCCGAGTGATGAATTCCCCCCCCTCTAAATCTGGCCGAACTTTCCCCCTTCTTCAGCTGAACCCCATTCCTCCCTTCGCCCTCTCATCCTCAAACCGTGTCAGAAGGTCGCTCTCTGTCTTTTCTTTTTCTTTCTTCTTCTCTTTTCTTTATAGGCTCTCTTAAATCCTGCCGAGGCTGCAACGCCCGGGAGCTGCGCTGCCCTTCGGTGCTGAGCACAGCAACACCGAAGCCGGGCCGCTCCAAACCTCCTCCTCCTGCAGCGCGGATCACAACACCGGCGCTCCCCCCAAGCTCCCAGCAGATCACAAGGGCTGGTAGCAGCACTGCGGGCTGCTTGGGGACCCTGGGTAACGCAGCCACCTCCGGGATGGGGGTCGATTGATTGGGGTCGATTGATTGGGGTCGATTTCCATGCTGCACTTGGGACAGGGAGCCGCAAACACCCCCATCAAAAGGCGCAGACCCCTCCTGCGGGTATCAGTGCCCTCCCCAAGTGGGGACCACCTCGTGCTCCCGCTGCTCATCTGCTGGCAGCCTTCTTGTGGCTGCCGGCCAGGGAAAAGGATGTTTAGAGGATGAGTAACATCCTTCCTGGCAAGGCTTCTGCCCACTCCTGGAAGCACGCAGGGGGCACCGGGAAGATCAGCCCCGTACCCCAAGAGCCTGGGAAGGACGCCAAGAGCGGGAGGCAACCTGGAGCTGAGGGCAGGGCCAACGGACCCAGATGGACCCACTGGCACCGGCACCGGGGGGTGGAGGAGCCGCAGGTGCCAGGGGGGAAGGGAGGGAGGATGCAGCGTGGCAGCGGGAGGCACAGGTTGGGGGAGGCAGCCCAGGGCCGGGAGCCAGAGCCTGGTTCAGCGCTGCCAGAAACGGCTACTTTTGGAATGGAGATGTCTTGGCTGAGCGTGCGGAGCTGCCGCTGGGAACAGGATGGCTCTCAGAGCAGGTCCCTGGCACTGCTCGCGGGCCAACGCTGCTCGGCTTCAGCCTGGGGCACGGTCTGCCCCAGCACTGCATCCCTAAGGCCTGAGTCACTCCTGCAGAGGGCTTTGGATGCCCTGGCCAAGAGGCGGCGCAACGCCCAGGGCTACGGCTCGCCCTTCCCCAAGCCTGAATGCCAAGCGTGGTACCCAGAGCTCCCGACAGCCATTGGGCTTGGTGCAACAGCAAACCTGGAGTGGGGAAACTGAGGCCTGAAAGCTGCTTGAGGCACACAGCCCGTCCACTGCTCCATCCTCCCCGGCACCTGGTGCTGGTGTCTCTGGTTCTGAGGTCCAGTGAGTAGATGGTGCCCCACTGGCATCCCCACTCCTTCCTCAGACTGGGGGGAGGCTGCCTGCAGTCCCGGCCCCTCACCACATCCAGACGTGGCTGTGGAGCTCCCTCCCATGGCAGGGTACCAGGAGCTTTGGCTGTGTGCTGAGCCAGAGCCTCAGGCAGGGACGCAGTGAGCTCCCCGCGCTCCAGCCCAGCCCTGCCCTCCACGCTGAGCCTCACACTGCTGCATTGTGGCCCAGCTGGTTTTTCCAGAGATGTATCCAAGGAGCGAAATCAGATCTCAGGGGAAGGGAGCAGGCACGTTCCTGGCTGTGCAGAGCTGTCGAGGCAATGCCAGGAGCTGGGACTGAGCACCACGGCCCTTGGCGACTGCTGCCCTCCAAGCTCCCACCCTGAGGCTGATCACAGATCCAGAGCCAAGTGCCCATGCTGGGCTGTGCTGCGTTTCCCGACTCCTTTACTTGCAAACTGTAGCCAAGATGCCCTGCCCTCCGGCCCTAGCAGCTCCACAGCATTGTTTCGTACTATCAGATAAGGAAGGAGCAGCACAGAGGGCAGGGACAGGAGAAGGGATGTGGCTGAGGGACCAGGGAGGAAAGTTCTCTGATCAACAGAAGAGCAGCACGCAGAGAGGGAGTTCCCTCCATGCAGGAGGCAGTTTTGGTCAGGGCTTGTCTAGACTGGAGCAACCCACACTGTAAGAGCACCAACAGCGAGCCTGGGGCACAGGCAGCGTCTGCTGTGCCCAGGCAGGAGGGACCCAGCTGTGCAACGGGGGACCCTGCTCCTCCTGGGCCCCATCTGCCAGCCCTGCGCGCAGCACACAGCCCCGCTGTGCCGGGGCACAGAGTCTGCCCAGCCTTCCCCATGCCACAAGAGCTCTGCAAGACACAGCGGGACAGCCAGGGAGCTGGGACACGCTGTCCCTGCCTCACATCAGACACAGCTGTGAGCCCCATCCCTGCCCGGCTCCAAGCAGAGCAGCCCCATGCTGGAGGCGGGGGCCGTTGTCCACCTCCACCGCTCCCCTTTTTCAGCACAAGGGCTGCAGGCAGCTCCGCGCCTCCCCCAGCTCCGGCACCCGGAGAAGCAGAAGGAGCTGCAGGCACACAGCGTCACTTTTTCCACACGATTCCAGCCACCTTCCCTTCCCCCTCACTGAGACACTGGGAAGCGCAGAGGCTCCCCTTGGCTCAAGGCAGCGCTGGGGCTGGAGCCACCGAGCCACAGGTCCCTGCACCAGGAGGAGTCCTGGAACCACCCCCCTTGGAGCACAGCTCCCTCCAGCCGCGCCATTCCTTGCTCAAAGCCCCAGGGCTCAGCCCTGTGCTCCCCCAGAACTGTGGGCTCTTGCTTTAGTGCCCGTCCCTTCCAGAGCCGCAGCCCTGAGTTCTTCAGCCCCAAGGTCAGGAGCATCCATGGAGCAAGAGAGCAGGCCCGACACAGACATTCTTTCTCGATGATCTAATTTAAAAAACACATTTTTACAAAAACACATCATCATGCAAACGCATGTCGCTTCTCTCCGGGCCCGCAGCTCGCCCGTGCCAGAGGCGGCTGCAGCTCAGAGCCAGGACGGATGCGGCCCATTTCCCACCTTCCCCCAGTGATAAGAGCCCCATGCGCAGCTCCACGTCCCTTTCCCCACCCCCCACCCCTTTACCACAGATTTCTCCCTGCCCCAACCGCCCCATAGAGGACACACCGAAGCCACAGCGGCCAAAGGGTTGGAGCAGCCCCGAGCTGCACCGAACGGCTGTTAAAGTTCATCAGGGAACACGGCCGAGCTCTGGGCTGCTTCAATCCTTTCCAAAAAAAACTCAAAGCAGTGCTCGCCCAGCAGGCTGCTCTCCTCGCGTTGTGCTGTGAGGGGTCGTGCTCCTAAGGCGTTAGTGTTTGATAAGGCATGGAGCACAGGGATGGGCCTCAGGATAGGCCCGGGAGTGCAGGGATAGGCCTCAGAGTGTAGGGATAGGCCTCGGAGTGCAGGGTAGGCCTTGGGATAGGCCTCAGGGTGCAGGGATAGGCCTCAGGGTAGGCCTTCAGATAGGCCTTAAGGTATGGGAATAGGCCTTGGGATAGGCCTAGGAGTGCAGGGAAGGCCTCAGGGTATAGGGATAGGCCTCAGGGTAGGCCTGGGAGTGCAGGGATAGGCCTTAAGGTGCAGGGATAGGCCTTAAGGTGCAGGAATAGGCTTCAGGGTAGGCCTCACAGTGCTGACGTAGGCCCAAGGCCTCCACCTGCCCTGCTCCCAGGCTCCGCTGACCCCAGCCCAGGCCCAAGGCCTCTCCCTACCCCACAGATCTCAAAGCCGTGGCGCCGCCGGGATCGGGGAAGGGCAGTGCGATGAAGGGCAGTGCGATGAAGGGCAGTGCGATGAAGGGCACTGCGGCACAGTGTGATGAAGCCATTGGTGGGTACCAGGCTCCATGTTTTCCCCCCCCACCCCTCCACTCAGTCCAGGCCCTGTGTGCGGCTCACGGGGCGCCTGCGTAGCTGTAGTGATTGCGGTCGGTGTCGCTCAGGGTTAGCGGCAGGCTGGGTTTGCGCTCCGGGTCCTTCTCATCGCACTGCCGGGGCGGACGGTGCTTGAAGAAGTCAGACACGTAGCGGACCTGAGGGGACAGAGAGGAGGTGGGGCTCAGGTCTGACTCCGTTGCTCCTCCATTCTGCACCAGGTACCGCGGTTGGGTTGGGGGCATCCATGGACACTCACGATGAGGATGGCGATGAGCGCGCCCTGGAGCAGCCCGGCCAGCACATCGCTCCAGTGGTGCTTGTAGTCAGAGACCCGCGTGTAGCCCACGTAGATGGCGAAGGCAAGGAGGAAGAACTGGATGGTGGGACGCAGCAGCCGGGCCCACTTCCCCACCAGCCGGGCTTGCACATAGAGCTACAGAGAGGACAGGGGTGTCACCAAGCACAGGGACAAACACAGTTCTGTCCCAGCATGGTGGGGACAGAACGCCAGGGCTTCACACAGCACAGCACTCACCGCCAGGAACATCATGCAGTACATCCCAAAGGAGGAGTGCCCGGAGTAGAAGGACAGCCTGCAGGCAAAGGGATGGGCCAGGACATGGCAGGGGACTGCCAACCCCTCACCACCCCTCTGGGGCTGCCCCCAGGGCTCACCTGGATTCGGTGACGTTCCTGCTCTCCCCTCGGCAGACATTTTCCAGCTGCACATAGATGGAGCAGTTCACCTTGGACCAGTCGGGGTTGCAGACCGCCAAGAAGTTGGGCCGGAGGCGGCCGATCATGTATTTGGCCAGGTCGGTCAGGGACTGGCTGATGGCGCCCCCGAAAAGAAAGGTCCCCACCACCTTGTAGAGGGCAGCCAGGTAGTTGTTGTACTCTGACTTGGAGTAGAGGCGTTCTGTGTAGACCAGGTATGCCTCCCCTGAAGAGATCTGCAGGGAGCAAAGGCTGAGAGGTGAGGGTCCCAGAAGCCTCCCTGGGGCCTTTCCCCAGCCCTTCAGGGACCCAGCCTCACGAGCTGTGGGTCTCAGCCCCACACATGGGCACTGCAGGGAGCCCACAAAGTTTCCTTACAATGAGAACGGTGCAGGTGATGGTGACCCCAGCCATGAGGCCATGGGTGATGGTGTCTGCCTTGTAGGGGTAGCGGATGGAGTCATCGTTGCAGTAGAAGCCTCGTTTGTACGGGGAGTTCACCAGCGTCAGGATGACAAAGGGCAGAGATGCTGCAAAGGAGAGAGACAGAGAGGACTGGGGCACCCTCCCAAGGATTGCATGCAGGCACCAGTGCACACAGTCCCCCTGTCCCTGCTCCCCACTGCTGGGCACAGATCTTGCACCCAGGGCAGCACGCTGGCCCGCAGCTGATAGAGAATTATCAGGGCTCACAACTGCCTGCAGAGCTGAGCGACTGCAGGAGATGGCTGCTTTTGGGCACCCAGGGAACATCCACTGCTCCCCAGCTGCTGCCTGGTGCCAGGACCCACTCCCCACTGCCTGGAGGAGGACAGAGCTCGGGGGAGCAGCACAGGCATCCTGCCAGCCTGTTTTACACCAGAAGGGCCTTCAGGTCCCACACGGTCCAGGTTTGGACAGAGCTGGAGCCCAGAGCCCGTGACCCAGCCTGGCTGGGCCCCCCCAGTAGCACTGACGCTCAGTTTTACACCCCGTGCACACAGCCCTGACCGCGAGCATCTTCCAGCTCCTCCGTGGACGCCATCATCCCACACAAAACATCAGAAGGAGCTCCAGGGGGGCTCTGACATGGGGTCGTGAAGCCACTCCAGCCCCTTGGGGACCCTGGCCGGGGTGACCACGGGCATCTTCGAGCACCTCCCTCCAGGGTGACGCTGGGCACAGCGCAGGGACCGGGGCTGCCTACGGTCCACCTTAAACCCGTGCTCCTTTCCCCGTTCCGCCTTCAGGAAGGCGATTTCCGCCTCCCCATTGTTCCTCCGTCTCCAGGGAAAAAACAAAACACACCTTTGTCCCCGGCAGCCACCCCTGCACCCGCAGCCCCTTCCCCAGGGGGGTCCCGCGCTCCGCTCTCGGCCGAGCAAAAGGGCAGAAACGAAAAGAGAAAGAAATCACAGCGAAGCACCACCCCGCAGCCTCCGGGCCTCCAAAGGCGGCTCTCTCCGAACAGAAGCGAAAGCAGCCAAAAAGAAAAAATAAAAAAGAGCTGCGAGAAGGCCAGGAACACGGCAGGAACATGGCAGGAACAAGCTGTGACGGCTCCCAGGCTGCGGGAGGAGCCCCGCACGCACGGACGCCTCCGTACAGACTTGAAACCCTTCGTTTGCAGCTCAAATTAGACGCTCTTTTCCTTTATCCCCCCCCCTTTTTTTTTTTTCCTTTTTTATTTTTTCCCTTTCCTCCCTGGGTAATTCCATCTTCCAAAAAAGCTCCCCCTAAAAATAAAAGGGGCAGAAAAGGAAAAGGGCACCGAACAACAACAAAAAAACACAAACACACAGGAACCTGCCTCTCTCTCTTTCTCTCTCCCCACCGGTGCTTAGAGCCCAAGAAAGCTCAGGAGGTTGAGGCTGAAATTACGACCCGGGCCTTTATTTTTAGGCCATCCGTCTTAATTAGGTGCTTGAGAGCGGCACTTTTAGAAACGAGCGTCTGGGCGGAGGCTGCCCCGGGGGGGGGGCACGGCGCTCGGGGCCCCGACGGTCACCCATCCCCGTCCCCATCCCCGAGCCCGGGTCCGCCTGCGGTCGCCCTCGGTCTGAGCGGCCCCACCGGCCGGTTCTCGGGGTCTCCCCGTCGAGGGGGGGGCTCCTCACGGACCGAACGGCCTCACCGGATCGTATCGCTCCGTCCTGAGGGGGGGGGGGGCAAAGGCCGAACGTTTCCCCGTCGGGGCATCGCAGGTGCTTCTCGGGGCTCCTCACCCGCTGCCACCCGACGGCACGGCCGGCCCCGGTCCGCGTGGACCCCATCTGCCCCCCCCCCACCCCCCCCACCCCTCCGCCCCATCGAGGGGGAAGCGGCCCGGCAGCCCCCCAACGGGCTCTCACCGACCACCACGCAGAGCACGTCGAGCACCACGAAGACCTTCCTGCGTTCCATACCGGCACCGGTTCGGTAACGGCCCAACGGACCGATCCTATGGTTCACATGGCCCGGAACAACGCGGGCCCGACCGGGAGCAAAAGTCCGGGCGGACGGGGCGGGACGGGGCGGCACCGACAGACGGGGCGGGGGGCGGGACGGCGGGGCCGGGGGCAGGTACGGGGCGGAGCCCCCCCTCCGAGCACCGGCTGAGGGGTCCGGAGCGCTTCGGGGACACCGGCGGTGTTAATTGGGCTCCGGAGCGACGGAACGCCGCGTTGTTCCACCGGATGGGGATCCGCCCCCCGCCCCGTGCCGAAGGAATGAGGGAGAAGAAAAACCCCGACAGCCCGAGGGCTGTTTTTCTAATGATAACAATGCAATAAAACAGAAAAATAAAGGGACAAAAAGGAAATTACAGAATCGGGGTGGATGAAGGCAGCCGCAGATGCGGGCGGTGGGGCAGCAGCCTGCAGATGAGCGGCGCTGGGAGCGACGGGCGCCGTGTGGGGCGGCAGGACGAGGCGCTCTTTGCTCCGGAGCTGCGACCCGAACGAGTCGCGGTGTTTTCCCGTCGGAGCAGAACGGCGGCGGGGCCGGGATGTGCCGAACCTGCGGCACCCGGATGGGAGCAAAGGTCGGAGCTGCTGCCCGCGGTGATTCCGCGGAGCTGTTTGTTCCAGGCCTGGCGCTCGGTTAGGAACGGAAGGAGACATAAATCACACAGAAAGCGCCCAAGTGATGATGGCTGCTGGGCTTCAGCACGCCGTGAGCGGCCCGGGGAGAACCTCGAGGCTGTGGTTGGAAGCAGAAGGGTTGGAAACCTTCTTGGGCTGCTCCGGGGTTGCAGGAGAGGAGCAGAACTGCTGCCTGGCTTCCTCTGCTCCCAGCCCCTTTCCTTTCCTTCCCCCTTCTCTTTCCCTTCCCTTTTCCTTCCATGCCCTTTACCTTTTTCCTACCCCTTTCCTTTCCCCTTCCATTTCCTTTCCCCTTCTCCTTCCCTTTCCCTTTTCCTTTCCCTTCCTCTTTCCTCCCCCCTTCCCTTCCATTTCCTTTCCCTTTTTCCTACCCCTTCCCTTTTTCCTACCCCTTCCCTTTCCCCTTCCCCTTCCCTTTCCTCTTCCCCTTCCCCTTCCCCTTCCATTTCCCCTTCCCTTCCCTTCCCTTCCCTTCCCTTCCCTTCCCTTCCCTTCCCTTCCCTTCCCTTCCCTTCCCTTCCCTTCCCTTCCCTTCCCTTCCCTTCCCTTCCCTTCCCTTCCCTTCCCTTCCCTTCCCTTCCCTTCCCTTCCCTTCCCTTCCCTTCCCTTCCCTTCCCTTCCTTTCCCCTTTTCCTTCCCCTTCCCCCTTTCTTCCTATCCCTTCATCCTTCTCTTCCCCTTCTCTTCTCCCTTCCCTTCCCTTTCCTTCCCTTCCCCTTCTCTTTCCACTTCCCTTTTTCCTTCCTACTCTCCTTCCTATCCCTTCCCCTTCTTCCCTTCCCCCTTTCCCTTCCTTTCTCTCCCACCTTCCCTTTCCCCTCCTTCCCCTTCCCTTTCTCCTCTTTCCCCCCCTCCCTTTCCCCCCCTTCCATCCACTCTGCTCTCCCCTCGTTCAAGATTTGCCCCAGCCACACCGAATGCACAACAGCAATAGAAAAAAAAAGAAAAGCCCTAACAGGGCAGTGCTGGGAGCTGAGATTTGACCACGGGGGCACAGAAACGGGGCAGGACGGGGCCAACCGCGGGCACACGGCTCCGTGCCGACACGGGGCAGAGCAGCACCCCGATAAGCGGCTGCTCCCCGCCCGGCATTGCAGGACTTTGCCCCGCTGGGGCCGTGGGACGACGGCAAACAACAGGAGCCAGCCGGAACGCCCCAACCTCACGGGTATCGTAGAATCGTCTGAGTTGAACGAGGTCCTAAAGGACATTTCCATCATAATGACCCCCGAGCATCGCTTTCTGATGGCTGCGATGGTTTTTGAGTAATTAAAAGCGGAGCGTTTAGCGCAGCCCTGTGTCACGTTGTGGGATTGCTGCAGACGCAACGCAGCGCCCGTGTGCCGTGGCTGGAAACCCCAAAACATCCCACTGAGGTCCCCAGGTTGGGAAATGCGTCCCTTCCCACCCCATGTGTGGGGACAGGAGATGAGGGATGCGGCTCCCGGGGTCCCTTCTAATTGAGCGGCCCCTCAAGGGATGGGGAGACAAGATCCCAAAGGTCTCTGGGATCCCCAGCCCAGAGCAGCGCTCAGCTGAACGCCCCGAGATGTTCTCTCTCGTAGGGATAATGAATATTCACCCAGGGGAGGGGAGGCTCAGGCAGAAGGGGGTCAGTTTTGGGGTGTCCTACATAGGGGGTGCCGCGAACAGGAGAAACTCGAGGTGCCTCGGTGGTCCTGGGGTGGGGGGCGGCACTTTGGGGGTGGGGGGAGGGGGGGGGTACCCTGTGGGGTGAGTCCATTAGAGCTCAGGGGGCTCTTGGGTTCTCCCCCATTAAAGGGTCCTGAGGTGCCTACGAAGAATTCTTAGGGTCCCTCCCCTATTAGGGGCGGAGTGTGGTGCTGTGGCAGCAGAGCAGCTGTGGACCCCTTATCCAATTATCGGCAATTAGCGGCCATAAAAGGGCGGCGAGCTGGGGGGGAGCCGGCTGTGTGACAGCGGGGCTATGGCGGCAGGGCAGCCCTACGGGCAGGTGAGGCTGTGGGTGGAAGGGAAAGTCTGTGCCACCCTACATGGAGCGGCTCCTTTCCCTGTGCTCTGCTGGAGCTGCGGCAGCAGGGTCAGGGCGTTGTGGGTTCCCCTTTTATGGGGGTATCCTATAGGAAAGGAGGGCTGCTTCCCCACCAGCAAGGATCCCAAAAGGGACTTTGGGGCTGGAACATCTCCCAGTCCTGCTGCTGGGTGCCTCCAGCTGGTTTGAAGCCCTTTTTTGCAACTTTTTGCTGTTCTGCTTTTGGGTGGTTGCATGGCCTCCCTGCTCAGCTGGGGGGGATCCATCCTGCAGGGCTGCAGGGATGCTGAGCACCAGGTTGAATACAGAGAGCTGCATGGGGAGCGCTCGGTTTGGTGGCTGTCTGTAGGGTGTCCCTCCTGTGCTCCCCCCAGGGTGCCCGGGTCTGGATTCCTGACTCTATCCATGTCTGGAGAGCAGCAGAAATAACCAAAGGCTATGAGGAAGGAGACTCCATCCTGCACCTCCGCCTGGAGGATGGCTCGGTGAGGTTGGGGCCGTGTGGGTCCTGAGATAAGATCGTCTTTGCACCCCAAACCAGCCTGTGTTCCTTGGCGGAGAGGCCACAGCGTGCCTGGTGGCTGTGCAGGAGCGTGGCTCACTGTGGCCGTGCCCCCTGCCCACCTGGGGGCCGTCTGTCCCCGCTCAGTGCTCACCCCCTCTCCCTTTCCCCAACCCTACAGCCTCTCGTTTACCCCCTGGGCTCTCAGCTGCCCCCTCTCTGCAACCCTGAGTGCCTCTCAGGCAAGGATGACCTGGTGGCTCTGAGCCACCTGCACGAGCCGGCAGTGCTGCATTCGCTCCGTGTGCGCTTCCTGGAGGCCAACGCCATCTACACCTACTGCGGTGAGCCCGCGTCCCTCCAGCCCTACCCAGTGCCCCCTTTCCCTGTATGAGCCCTGAGCCCTTCCTGCAGGCATCATCCTGGTGGCCATCAACCCCTACAAGCTGCTGCCCATCTATGAGGATGAGGTGATCTACGCCTACAGCGGCCGGGAGATGGGGGATATGGACCCCCACATCTTTGCGTTGGCAGAGGAGGCCTACAGGCAGATGGTGAGGTGAGAGATCTTTTGGGGGGACCTCGGGGTGGGGTTGGGCCCCTTGGGTTGTGTCCCGTTGGGTTGCGGTGGGAAAAGGCTGAAGCCCCGTTGGGAGGAACCATTCCGTTGGGGGTTCCCAACGTGGCATTGCACCCCCTGGGTTGTGGTGGAGAAGGGCTGAAGCCCCATCGGAACCATCCCAACGTTGCCTTCCAGGTTTGGTAGGAACCAGTCCCTCATCATCAGTGGTGAATCAGGAGCAGGGAAAACCGCCTCAGCCAAATATGCCATGAGATATTTCACCACGGTCGGGGGTGGTCTGGGGGACTCCAGCATGGAGGAGAAGGTGCTGGCCTCCAGTCCGCTCATGGAGGTGCGTCCCCCATCCCAAACCCTTCCCATGGCCTTCAGCCCATGACAAAATGGATGGGTGCGGGGGGTTGGCCTCCCCTGGAGCACCTGGAAATACAGAACCTCCCTCTTGCCAGGCCTTTGGGAACGCCAAGACTACCAGGAACGACAACAGCAGCCGCTTCGGGAAGTACATCGAGATTGGCTTCAGCCATGCCCGTGTGATGGGGGCCACCATCAAGACCTACCTGCTGGAGAAGTCCCGTGTCACCTTCCAGGTGGGGCTCTGGTAGGGACAGGGCCAAGCGTTGGCCGTGGCTGCTATGGCATGCGGCCCCGGCGCTGCTCGGTTGAACTGGGAGGTGGGAACGTCCCCTTGTCCCCACTCTGGAGGTGCTCAGTGCTCTTCTCACTCCCGCAGGCAAAAGCGGAACAGAACTACCACATCTTCTACCAGCTCTGTGCGTCAGCTGCCCTGCCTGAGCTGCAGGCTCTGCATCTGCGTGAGTGCCCCGTGTCCCCTGGCTGCCCCCATGGCGATGCCAGCACTCTGCCTTCCTCCCCCCCTTTTCCCTTCCCCCAAACCTTTGGGGCTGCTGGCTGGGTGCGCTGCCCCAAGGGAACCCGGTGGGGCTGTGCTGCTTTCATCACCCACACATCTCCTCTTTAGGTGGAGCAGAGACCTTCTACTACACCCAGCAGGGCCGCTGCAGCGCAGGCGCTGATGATGCATCTGACCTGGACAGCACGCGGCTCGCCTTCTCCCTGCTGGGTACTGTGCTGGGTTGGGGAAAAACAGTGGGGTGGGCATCCCCGTTGTCCTGTGGGCTGTCACCATCATCCCACCGCCCTCGCCTCGCTGTTGGTTGGGTGCCCCATTGCTGGCCAGCTGGGTATCTGCTGGCTATTCCCTTCTCTCCAGCTCGTGCTGTGCAGGATCTGACCCCAACCCCTCGCTCTGTGCCTGTAGGTGTCCCTGAGGTTGACCAGCTGGAGCTCTTTGCCGTCCTTGCTGCCATCCTGCATCTGGGCAACGTCACCATCAGAGGGAGGGACCGCCATGGGGACGGCTGCTTTGTGGAGGTGGGTGAGAGCCCCACGTGCGTCCCCACGCATCCCAGCGCTGCTGGTGACCTCTCTGTCCCTTCTCAGCCCAACAGTGAGGCCTTGGGGCTGTTCTGTGCGCTGCTGGGCATCGAGGAGGTGCAGGTGACTCGCTGGCTCTGCCACCGCAAGCTGGTGACGGCGGGTGAGACCTACATGAAGCCACTCAGCAGGCAGCAGGCGCTGGACTGCCGGGATGCCCTGGCCAAGCACATGTATGGGCAGGTCTTCAGGTGGATGACAAGCAGGGTCAACCGTGCCCTGCGCTCGCCGGAGGGCCACCACACCTCCATCGGCATCCTGGACATCTATGGGTAAGGACAGCTCTCCTTCTCTTTGTGATCCTCCTCTGGCCACTGTTGGGTCTGTGGATGGGGTTGTGCTGTCCCCATAGTGGGGCTGGGGTCCGTGGCTGTGCCCTGCCTCAGCCAGCAATCTGCTGCCCGCAGGTTTGAGATGTTTGACCTCAACAGCTTTGAGCAGTTCTGCATCAACTACGCCAATGAGAAGCTGCAGCAGCTCTTCAACCTGGTGGGTATCACCCAAATGTCTCCTTGCTGGGAGGGCAGCACAGCTCCCTGTGTCCTGCAGCGCTGCTCCTTCTGTTCCTGCGCTGGGAATATGGCTGCTCCCTCAAAACCTGGGGCTGGAGATGGGCATGGAGCCCTCTGTTCTCCACAAGCTCTGAGAGAAGGGGAAGGGCTGCTGTGTGCAAACCTCTGCCCTCACCTCGGTCCTGCTCTGCTCTCCTATCCCTCCAGCACGTCTTCAAGCTGGAGCAGGAGGAATACGTGGCTGAGGAGATCCCATGGGTCTTCATTGACTTCTGTGACAACCAGCCATGCATTGAGCTCATCGAGGGTCGACTGGGCGTGCTGGACCTGCTGAATGAGGAGTGCAAGGTGGGTTGGGGTGCTGGCAGCATTGCAGCCCTACAGAGCCCCCTCCCCCTCCCCCAGCTGCTTCCTCTGACCCCTCTGCCCTTCAGATGCCCCAGGGCAGTGATGGGAGCTGGGCCCAGAAGCTGTACCAGACCCACCTCGGCAGCTCCCACTTCCAGAAGCCCAAGAGGCCGACGGATGCCTTCATTGTGTGCCACTTTGCTGGCAAGGTAGGAGAGCCACTCTGGTCCCCTGGGCAGCTCTGGCTCCTAAGGTTTCCTCTGGTTCCAAGAGCCCTGCAGCAAGTTGGGCTGGGAAAATCCCAGGGTAACGCTGTGCTGTTCCCTGCCAGGTGGAATATCAGTGTGATGGGTTTGTGGAGAAGAACAGGGACACCATCCCCGAGGAGCTGGTGGGGCTGCTGAGAGCCAGCAAGGTGCGAGCATCCCGGGGCTGGAAGGGTGGGTGATGTGGGAGAAATGAGCTGTGGGTGCCCCCACCCCGTTCCCATGGGTTGCCACCATTTGGGGTGTGTGATGTCACCTCCCTGCAGAGGGGCTGGGGGTCAGGGGGGGAGTCCTGTTGCCCTCAGTTGGTAACACTGTCACTTCTTTCCTCTGCATCGCGTGGTCCTGGCAGAAGGTAAGGGACATCTTAGGGGGCACCTTGGGCTGCTCTCGTGGCAGGGTGTCTGTGGGTGCACTGGGGTTCTTTGGGGGGCAGGAGGAGGGGGCACAGCTGGTTCTTGCACATCGGGGCTGTGGGGCCGGGCTCGTGGGGCTGTGTCCTGCATTGAGGGCTCTGGGTGCACGGTGTGATGCTCTCTGCTGGCTCTCATGGCCCCGCTCTGTGCAGTCTGTGCTGCTCGCTGAGCTCTTCCTGGAGGATGGCGATGGCCCCACATCCCGCAGGTCCAGTGGGTCCAGGTCCGCCCGCCCCAGCCGCAGGTCAATTCCTGGTACCCAGAAGAGCAAGAAGTCCATCTCCAGCCAGGTATGGGGCAGGGGGAGGGGAGGAGGACCCTGCTGTGTGCTGGAGAGGCTCTGAGTGCTTTCTTGTTGTCCTCTACAGTTCAAATCCTCCCTGCACCGGTTGATGGAGACGCTGGGCAGCACCACACCACACTACGTGCGCTGCATCAAACCCAACGACAGCAAGCTGCCCTTTGTGTGAGTGCTGTGGGGCTGGGGGCTCATGGAGTTGTGCCATCTCCCAGACCTGCATCCTTCGTGCCCCATATGTGCACCCCCCAGCTGATGCCTGAATGAGATAACCCTTCCATTTCTGCCCCAGCTTTGACTCCAGGAGAGCAGTGGAGCAGCTGAGAGCTTGTGGAGTGCTGGAAACCATCCGGATCAGTGCTGCTGGTTACCCCTCCAGGTAACCCCCCGCCCCCCCAGCACCGTGGGGGTCCCCTGGCTGCAGCACCCCCTGATCATCCCCTCTATGCACCCACAGGTGGACCTACCAGGAGTTCTTTGAGAGGTACAGGGCACTGCTGAGCAAGGAGGAGCTGGTGGGTGATGATGCAAAGCAGAGCTGCAGCCTTGCCTTGGAGAGACTGCTGCAAGTAAGGGGTTGCAGCGGGGTCCCAAGGGCGCATCCCTTGTGTGTGGTTTTCCCCATTTCTTGTTTTCCCAAGTGTCCTTCGTGCACAGTTCTCCCCATCCCTTGCAGGATCCCACCCAGCATCCTTCATACATGCTTCTCCCCATCTCTTGGGGTCCCTCAAGCATCCCTTGCACGTTCTTTTCCCCCTCAGTGGGAGTCCTCACAGGTCCTCCATGGGTTGCACACTATGGATAGGAGCTGGCGTTCTGCAGCCAGCAGGGAGGTCACAGAGCATCCCTTTGGGGGAGCCTCCTTGAGGCACTGCTCTGAATCTCCCTTACATCCCGCAGGACCCCAGCATGTACTGCTGCGGGAAGAGCAAGGTGTTCTTCCGTGCTGGCCAGGTGGCATTCCTGGAGGAGCTGCGGTGCCGCCGGCTGCGTGCAGCCTGCACCCTGCTGCAGAGGCACCTGCGGGGCTGGCTGGCACGGCGCCGCTTCGGGCGCATTCGCGCTGCAGCTTTGTGCCTGCAGCGTCACACCCGGGGCTTGTTGGCACGCAGGTGAGATGCAAAGAGCTGAGCCCGAGGGTGGGGAAGGGAGGCTGTGGGGTTCTGCCACCTCGTGCTCATCTCCTGCACCCTGCAGGCTCACCGCTGAGCTGCGGAGGAGCAGAGCTGCGGTGGTGCTGCAGAAGAACGTGAGGATGGCGTTGGCTCGGCGCTCCTACCTGCGTGTGCGCCGGGCTGCTCTCACCATCCAAGCCTTCGGCCGGGGGATGTTTGCTCGACGCCTCTACCGCCAGGTAGGAGCAGGGCAGAGCAGTGAGCTGCGCAGATGGGAGCGGCGCCCTGCTGCATCTTGGTGACAGTGCAGCACCGGTCCCACTGCGAGCAACCGCTGCTGCATTGTCCCTTGTGCTTGCTGGTGATGCTGCTGCCCCGTATCTCCCCACAGATGGTGCAGCACCAGAAAGCTGTGGTGCTCCAGGCTGCTGTGAGGGGCTGGTTGGCCCGCCTGCACTACAGCCGTCTGCGCAGGGCTGTGCTCTACCTGCAGTGCTGCTACCGCCGGGCGCGGGCGCGCCGTGAGCTGCAGCGGCTGCGGGCTGAAGCGCGCTCAGTAGAGCACTACAAGCAGCTGCACAAAGGCATGGAGATCAAGGTGATGCAGCTGCAGCGCAGGCTGGATGAGCAGGTGGGTGCTGCAGCTCCTTGGCGGCCAGGGTGCAGCGGTCAACCCGTCCCTATGGAGGGCCCTCTGGTCGGAGCGCTGCGCCCAGTGATACCTGAGGGAATGGGGAACCCCGTGGTGCAGATGGGTTTCCTTTGGGGTGAGTGCATCCCCCAGTTTTGGCCCTCTCTGCCCCCAGGCCCAGGAGAAGCAGCGATTGGCAGAGCAGCTCTTGGCACTGAACGCTGCTCACGCTGAGGAGGTGCAGCGGCTGCGGGAGGAGATGCGGTGGCTGCGGGAGGATGCGGCACACGATGCTCAGGTGCAGCGGCTGCAGGAGCGGCTGGCCGAGCTGGAGAGGAACAGTGCTGAGAGCCGCCTGGCCCAGGAGGTGGAGGAGCTCCGACAGGTCCGACTTGGGGCTGGGGGTGATGGCTCTGCTCCCTTTGTGCCGTGATAGAGGTGCTGTGCGCCCCAGAGGTGGCCCCTGGGCTGCATCTGTCCCTCTGCTCACTCCGCAGCGCCTGGCAGAAGTGGAAGCAGTGAAGCTGCACCTGGGGGAGGAGAAGGATGCTCTGATTCAGCGCACCTTGGAGCAGTCGCAGGATCTAGAAGGTAGAAGGATCTCCGTGCCCCCATCCTCACTGCACCCTCCCTGTGTTCCCACGTGTTCCTACGTGTCCTTCTGCCCACAGAGCAGCACCAACGTGCGGCACGGGAGAGCCGGGGGCTGCAGCAGGAGCTGGAGGAGGAGCGGGCGCGCTACCAGAGCCTGGTGCAGGATTATGCCCGCCTGGAGCAGGGCTACGAGAACCTGCGGGATGAGGTGGCCTTCCATAGGGTGAGGAGTTGTGGGGGGCTCAGCCCCTGTGGGCTGCTGTGTCTTTGTCACCCCCAGGCCTATCCTTGTACCCCCACTAGAGATGGGGCTGTTTGGGGTGCAAGGAGTGACTGTGTCCCTCTTCTCTCCCATCAGCAAAGCACCTTCAGGCGTTCTCCTTCATCCGAGAGCTTCCTGGGCTCTGAGAGCAGCTACATGTCCTCTATGTCCACCGCCCCTTCTCGGGATGGCTCTGACCTACAGGCTGAGGTTAGTGGTGATGGTGGAGGTGACAAATGGAAGCTCCCCTTTCCCATGGGGTCCTGTGGTCTCAGAGGCACAGCTGCAGGGCTGTCAGCCCCCAGCTCCAACCTCCTTCCCACTCCCAGGGGCAGGAGGAGCGCTGGCAGCCACCAACTGAGGTCCCCCAGCCTCCCCACCCCATGGAGGACCCTATGCCTAACGCTGCTGTGGGGCAGGACCGCTTTGAGAAGGCGTATCTGCTGCTGCTGGGGCAGCTCAATGCTGTCACTGAGGAGCTGGCCCGCACCCGGGAGGAGCTGGGGAGGAGCAAAGCATCTGCTGAGCACGAGGAGAGGAAACCCCTGGATTTCCTTAAGAGAAGGGTGAGCCTCTGCCCCGTATCTGTGGGGATGGAGCTGAGCTGCTGGGGCTGCCCTCACCCTGCCCTGCTCTCCTCTTGGCAGAACATCGCTGAGATGCTGGGACTGGGCAGGAGCCCTGAGAAGGCGGCGGGGGATGACTTGAAGCACGCCTACGATGCGGTGCAGGTGGCCAACAAGTGAGTGTGGCCCCACAGATGCTCTGGGAAATGTTGGTTTGAGGGGATAAACCTTACCCCCAAAGGATAGAGATTGATGCACTGGAGTCATAGAATAAGCTGGGTTGGAAGGGACCCCAAGCACCATCTGGTCCAAGTGGTGCCTCAGTTTCTCCACTCACGCAGGCTGTTGGTGAGCCAGCTGCAGGAGGAGAAGCAGCACCACGAGGAGGAGGTGGAGGGGCTGCACCTCGACATCCGTTCACTCAAGCAGCTGAGCCAGCAGCAGGCAGCCCTCATCCAGGACCTGCAGAGGCACCAGGGCCAGGAGGGGCTGCAGCACCACGTTGTGCGCCTGAAGGAGGAGAACTGGGTAAGGGGTGGGGAGGGGGACACAGCAGGGTAGGGCTGGAGACCCCCATCTTGTCCTGTGGCAATCTGCAGCATCCCGCTTGGGAGCGATGCGTGGGGACTTTGGCATCTCCTGACCCCGTGAGTGGGTGCTGGGGGCTGTGAGCCTTACAAGGGCTGTCCTTGCTCAGGAGCTGTCCCAGAAGCTGGAGAGACAGGAGAGGACCACGCTGAAGCTGCAGAAGCAGCTGAGAACCTACATGAAGCAGATCCAGGAGTTTACAGGTAAGCACACGCATGGGAAGGGGGACGCAGGGATGGGGGTCACCAGCCTGCTTTGGTGCTGGTGCATCATGCACGAGGGCCTGCTGCAAGTCCCGTGGCCCAGGATGTGATCTGTGCTCCCCTCCAGCAATGAAGAAAGAGCCCCCCACGCCGGGGCAGGAGCCAGCAGCATCCCTCAGGGTCCCATCCTCATCAGGGCCGCCCCAGGCCATGCTGGCATGGAGGCTGGAGGACGAAGGGCGCATCATCAAGGCCATCATCACAGGTGGGCTTTTGGGTAACCTGGTCCCACTGACCCAACAGAGAGCCCTAGGGATGGATCCTGTCCCTCCATTTCCCCCCAGCTTTGCTCTCCATTGCTGCCTGGCCCCACATCTCTGTGCCCTCCCCTACAGATTATCGCCTGCAGAGCAGCCCTGGGGCAATGCCAGAGCTTCCAGCCTACGTCCTCTTCCTCTGCATCCGGCACGCAGACCACTGCCGTGATGAGCCACGTGCCCACTCACTGCTGGATGCAGCCATCAATGCCATCAAGAGGGTCATGAAGGTGCTGGGGGCAGGGAAATTGCTGGGTGATGTAAGGATGGTATGGGGGGGCTGCAGCCTGGACCCCAGGGCTCTGTAGGATGGGGCTGTGGTGCTGGGGGTGGCTATGGGGTTGCTGCTGGAGCCTCACTGACCCACTTTCTGCCCACCCCACAGAAGCACAGTGATGACTTTGACATGGTGGCACTCTGGCTTGCAAATGCCTGCCGGCTCCTGAACTGCCTGCGTCAGTACGGCCGGGATGAGGTAGGGTGCTGGGGAGGGGGCTGTTATTTCCCCCCCCCTCTCCCCCCAGGATGACATCAGCAGCTTTGGGCTCTGTCTATGGCCTGGGGCTGTCCCACATTTATTCCCCCTCCCTCCCCCCACAATGACATCAGCAGCTTTGGTCTTTGCCTATGGGCTGGGGCTGCCCCCCATGTGGTGCATGTGCTGGGCAGATCCTGCCCCTTGTTGCCCCTGGGGGGGCTTTGGGGTGGGATCACCTGGGAACCCATCACCCTGACCTGGCTGTACCTGCAGAGCTGCCACCAGGGGAACACAGCACACCAGAATGAGCATCGCCTGCGCAACCTGGACCCTCAGGGCCCCTACCACAGCCTGGGAGCGTTGGCAGTGCAGCTGTACCAGCAGCTCATCCGCACGGCTGAGAAGCGCCTCAAGCCCATGATTGGTAGGATGGAGCTTGGGGGGATGTGGGGCTGGGGGCTCATGGGGTGCCTGGTGGTGCTGGTGGTGGAGGGGAGTGGTGCTGTGGTTTGGCTTGGGTTGGGTCTCTCGTGATGGGGGGCTTGGTGTTGGGTTGGATTCATCTTAAGGAGGATGTGGGGTAGGCTGGGTTCCCTGTGGGGTGGGTTCCTCTTAAGAGGACTGTAGGTTGGCTTTGGTTGAGTTGGGTTCCTCATGGTGAGGGGGTGTGGGTTGGGTTGGACTCCTCTTAAGTGGGCCGTGGGTTGGGTTCTGTTTCCCATGGAGAGGCTGTGGGTTGGGCTCTCCACAGCCCCCGAAGCCAACACAGAGGAGAGCTGTGAGTTGGGTTAGGTTTCCCATGCCTGGGAGCTCTGGGTTGGGTTCCACACAGAGCTCCAGGGCTGGATCTCGCAGTATCCCAGCTGAGATGATGCATTTGAGGAGCTGAAGGGGGAGGGGAGATTTGTACCCCCTCCAAGGACCTCCCTCGCTCACCTGCCCCACTTCTCACATCCAAGGAGCACAGCCGCCCCATCAGCTCCTCCATCCCCAACTGGAGGTGACACGAAGCCGATGAACCACGCTCTGATGGTTCTTCTTTTCTGCCCTCCAGTCTCTGCAATGCTGGAGAGTGAGACCATCCAAGGCCTCTCCTCCTCCTGCCCTCCCACCCACCGCCTCTCCTCGGCCCCCCCAGCCCACACGCTGCCCGAGCTCCTGCAGCAGCTGGGCTCCTTCCACCACACGCTGGAGCATTATGGGCTGTCCCCAGCCGTGGGGCATCAGCTGCTGCGCCAGCTCCTCTTCCTCATCAGCGGCACCACCCTCAACTTCCTGCTGCTGAGGAAGGACGCCTGCTCCTGGAGCCGTGGCATCCAGCTCAGGTTGGCCCTATGTGGGGTGTATATAAGGGAGGGGGGAGGGTTGAGGGAGGGGGGCTGCCTCCTGCTGACCCCCCCTGCCCCATAGGTACAACGTCAGCCAGGTGGAGCAGTGGCTGCGGGCGCAGGGGCTGCAGCAGAGCGGTGCCCGTGAGATGCTGGAGCCTCTGATCCAGGCTGCTCAGCTGCTGCAGGTGAAGAAGGCGACAGAGGAGGACGCGGCGGCCATCTGCAGCCTGTGCACCGTGCTGACCCCACAGCAGGTATGGGGCTGGGGGGGTTGGATGCAGTGACCTGGGAGCCTTGGATGCAGTGACCTGGGAGCCTTGGGACCCCAGCGCTGGGGCAGAGATGATCCCTCAGCTCCATCATCTGCTGTCTGCCCCAGGTGGTGAAGATCCTGCGGGCGTACACCCCGACTGCTGGGCTGGAGGAGCGTGTGAGCCCTGCCTTCATCAGCAGCGTGGAGGTAGGGAAGGAGGCTGTGCTGGTTGGGGAGGGGGGGCCTTGGTTCTTGGCCGCTGCCTCGTTGATGGCCGTATCCCCACAGAACCGACTGCAGGAGCAGCAGGCAGAGGGACCAAGCCAGCTCCTGGTGGACACCAGCCACTTCTTCCCTGTGCAACTGCCCTTCATCCCCTCCCCGCTGCACCTGGATGAGCTCTGCATCCCCAACACCGTGGACCTGGCCTTCCTCGTGCGCCTCTGAGCTGCAGGAGGACCTGGCGGGGTTGGGGTGCAGCTTTGTGTGAGATGTTTGTTGGTTGGAACCCGGCCCTGCTGCCTTTGGCACGGCCGTGATGATCTTCACCCCTTTCTTTTTAATGCTTTGATGTTAATAAAAGTCTTTGCAGATAAACTGAGTGCCTGAGGCTGCCTGCTTGGGTGGGGAGCGGGTGTGAGGTGGCGATGTCCTTGTGGTGGGGGATTGGCCACCTGTGGGGCTTTGGGGGCACGTTACCTGATCCTATTTAACTCCTTGGTGGAAGCTTTTGCCCATGGAGTTGGACTCAGCGATGCTGATGGGTCCCTTCCACACTGGGGCAGAGGCTGGGGTGGATGGATGGCTCTTGAGAATTGCAGGCACCATCCATGGACCTTCAATGCTGGCCTTCAATGTGGGATGTCCTTCCCACAACGTAGGCCATTTTTTTTCCTTTTTTTTCCTTTTTTTTTTTTTAATGTCAGTTATAATAAAATATTTTTACAGAGCCCAAAAAAGTCAAAATAGTGCAAAACATCTCACTGTCATGCATCCGGGGGAGCCCCTGCTATTGGGGGGGGGGGGGGGGAGGTACAGACACACAGGTACGGAGCAGAGGGGGGGCATCCATCACATGCCAAACAGGATGGGGTAGGAAGGGGGCACTTGGGGGGGGGGGGGGGGCAGGGCTGAGCCCCCTTGGGAGCAGCAGTTAGAAAAGGGGTGTAAACATTGAACAGAAAGAGTGGACACCTAAACCCTTTGGTCCCAGGCAAACCCTATAGAAAGGAGATGGAGAGTTAGGGTGGGGGTACCCTGTCCTTGGTGAGGGGTTGGGGGGGGGTGAGAGGTATATATTGAGTTGGGGGGGGGGCTTCTGGCTGTGGGTGGGACCCTGTGCTCCTGCCCCCCCCTCCTCCTCCAGACACGCACGCCACAGATCACACAAATGGAGGTTAATGGGGAATAGGGGAGGGGTCCTTGGGCTTGGAGAGGGGAGGGGGGAAGGTTTTTCTTGTGCCAAGGAGGCCCTGTGGGCACAGCTGCGGAGGTGGGTGCCCCCAGCCCATGGGATGCGAGTGCCCCTCACCCCCACCCTGGCACCAAGGGTGGGACACGGGGCAGGGAAGACAGGAGTGGGGCTGGGGGTTGCTCCCTGCCCTCCAGCCCCAGTGATGTCGCCGCCTGCTGGGGGGGGTCCCCAGCCCCCATAGCCCTTTCGGGGTGCGGGGCACAGCTGCCCCATTTATGTACAGCTCTATCTACATATGTACAAGGGATGGGGATGACGGGCCGTCACCTGAGCCCCCCCCAGCCCAGAGCTTTCCTTACGTCCCTCAACGAGGCGGGGGGGCCAGGTGGGGTCTTTGGGATCCCTCCACCTCTATTGGGGAAGGGGCAGCTCTGCCCCGTCGCCCAGTTTGGGGTGCAGCCCTGCAGCCCCGTGGGTGTGGGATGGCGGCGCTCTGTGCTTTCTCGCAGCCAAAGGAGGGACGGGGTGCGGGGGGAGGGTCCTCCGCTGCACCCGCATCCCCCTCCCCATAGGCAGGAGCCGCCCGTTGTGGCCTCTCTTATGGCTTATACACGGCTGGGGGATGCCGCGGGGCTGCAGGTGGAGGGCGGGGGGGGGGGAGGAGGGGGGCGTGATTTAAGTGCTGCCCTCCTCGGCAGAGCGCGTGTCGGATTTGAGCTTGACGAACTCCTTGGCCACCTCGTCGTTGTTGCGCTGGGACAGGATGCGCAGCACGGTCAGCCCCGTGTCGTCCATGTGGATGCGGCGGCCGAGGGGCAGCCAGCAGGCGCAGCCCCCCCGCTGCAGGAGGTCGCGCAGCTGCAGCACGGCGATGCCCACCGTGCGATCCTCGCGGGCGAAGCAGTAATCCTTCACGCACACCTGCAGCTCGTAGCACTCGGGACCCGTCTCTGTGCCCAGGGTGCTGTGGGTTGGGGATGAGAGATGGGCGGCGCTGGCATGGAGGGGCTCTGGGGCGGCGTTGCGGCCCCCCCTAAGTTGTATTTTTTCCCCGCTTCCTGCTGCTGTCCCCATGTTCCAATGTCCCCAGAATCCTGAGCTCCCCAGCATCCCTGTGTCCCCACATCCGCGGTGACCACACGTCTCCACTGTCCCCAAACCCCGGCATCCCCCCCTATCCCCAGTGTCCCATAACCCCAGCATCCCCACATCCCGACATCCTCAGCATCCCTACGTCTCCTGGTGCCCCCAGTGTCTCACGTCCCAAGCATCCCCATGTCTCCAGAGTCCCCGCATCCCTAATGTCTCCACTCCCAGCACCTGCATTGTCCCCGTGCCCCCAGGGGACCCCATGTCCTCAGCACCCCCACATCTCCAGCATCCCCATGATACTGGGGGATAGAGTATCCCCTACATCCCCACTGTCCCCACCTCCCCAATGTCCCCGTGTCCTTGATGTCCCTGTGCCCCCAGCATCCCCCCGCATCCCCAGCCCTGCCCCCCACAGGTGCCACTCACAACTGGAAGCTCTCGTTGTACTTGGGGGCCCAGCTGTTGTTCTTGGACTTGGTGGCAAATTTCCTCTTCTTGTCGCTCAGGTGGGGGCCGATGATGTTGACCTCAATGAAGGGCCGGAAGATGCCCGACGTCTGCCACTTCAGGTCATTGGCAGCCACCACTGTGCCAAGAGGGCGCGTGAGTTTGGTGGGGCGTCACCCCCCCCCCCCCCGGTCCCCTCTAGGTCCCCCCATGCCCACCTTTCACAGTGACTTTGTGTTCGCCGGTGCCGGGGTGGGTGAAGAGCTCCACGTGGATGGACACCTCCCCAACGGGGTCCTCCACACCAGATCCTGCGTGGCCGAGGGGGCAGGGTGAGTGCCAGCCCTTGGTGCTGTCCCCTCTTGTCCCCTGTTGTTCCCTGCCCGCCTCCAAGCCCTCTGCAGTGGGGCAGGCGATGAGGGGACAGCGGGGGGTTCAGCACCGCGTGTGCCCCAATGTGACCCCGTGGGGAGATGGGGGGCAGCCACCACTGGGGACAGCTGGGGCTGGCAGCAGGGACACTGCCGTCCCCTCCCCATCAGTGGGTCCCAAACCCCTTCCCCTCCTCATCCAAGAGTGCCTGAGGGGGATGAGGTGGGACCCCAAAGGGGATGTGCTCAGTGTAACCCTGTGCCACCACCAAAGCTATGGGGCTGCCCCACAAAAAGGGGGAACTCGGTGACCTGCAACCCCCCCACGTCAAGCTGTGCATGCACCCATGGGTGAAGGAGGGTGGGGGGCGACGCAGGCTCAGGACATTCAACAGGAGGAGGACGTCCCCACGTGTTCCAGCATGGCACGGGGGGGGGGGCACAACCACACTCCATCCTCTGCCCCCACCCGGCACCCCGTCCCCATGGGCAGTGCCATGCTGAGCCAGAATGGAGTGATGGAGGGGGGTCTGAGTGCAGGAGGCCAAGCAGGGGGTCAAGCAGACCCATCCCTCCCTCCCCCCCCCCAAAAAAAAAAGCCTGAAGGTGTGCAGGAGGCCAAGCAGGGCCCACAGGGGAGGCTGTGCTCATTCCTCGAGGCGGTAATGGTCCTTATGGCAATAAGGTGGGGGGACATGGGTTGTGTGCCCCCCCCGCAGCAGCACCAGGGTGCCCTGAGCTCACAACCCAGCCCCAAGCTGTGGGGATGGGGAAGGGGTCAATGCCCCCCCAACTCCCCCCCAGTTCAGCCCAAAGCAGCCCTGTGAGGCTGGGGGAGGCACATCTCAGGGGAGAGGCAGAGGGGTGCTGGGGGTGAGCAGTGCACCTACCCTTCTCAGGATAAATCTCTTCACTAAGGGTAAACCTAACACCTTTTCCACCATGGACTATTGGGCAGGAGAGAGAGAAAGAGACGAGACACAGCACAGAGCGGACAGAGAGAGGAGGGAGACAGCGTGTGTTGGGGGGGGGGGACAGCAAAAAAGAGGGGTGGGGGAGGAACAGAAAGAGAGAGAAAGAGAGATCAGCACTGGCGGACGACACTGCGGCGACACGGAGCACCCAGGGGGGCTGGGGGGACCCACAGGACAGACGGACTGACGGACGTCCTGGTGTGGGGAGGGGGACGCACAGACAGACCTGGTGCTGGGGAGGGGGCACTGAGCTCCCCGTGGCCCCATTCATCCACAGAGCGCACAGCAGGGAGAGCCCACGCCATCCTCACACCCACGGCCCTACGGACCCCCGCGCTCCAGCCCCACTGGGGGCACGGTTACGGGTTGGGGGGTGGGATGTTGGGGGTGGGGGGTGGGGGGGTCATACCTTGTGACGTCTGTGTCTGCACAAAGGTTTTGATGAGCAGGTCGGTGGCTTGGGTGTACAGGGACAGCGCGTAGCGCAGCGACTGCAGGTCGGGGCTCTTCTCCAGGAAGGTCTTCTTCAGCCCCACGCCGCCAGCGTGGAAGTATTGCTGTGGGGGGGGGGAGTTGTGGGGCAGGGGGGGCTCAGCGTGGTGTTCCCATAGGGACAGTGCTGTCCCCATCCACCCCACAGTGCCCTCACCTTGATGGTGTCCAACGCCAGCTCCACCACCGCGCACTGCTTGGGGGTCAGGCTCTTGGCTTCCTCCCTCACCATGTGGTCCTGAGGGGGGCACAAAGGCTCAGAGTGGGGACGTTGTGGGGTCGTCACCTCACCCCACATTGAAAGGGGACCTCGGAGAGCCCACCTTCAGCTTGGAGAGCTGCCCCAGCTCCTTGGCCGCGTTGAAGATCATCTGCGTGCCCTGCAGAGAACGGAGAGAAGGGGATGGCGAGAGTGAGCGGCCAGGTTGTGTGTGTGGGGGGGGGGGGTTGCAGTGCCTGGGGGCTCCCGGCCCCCAAATTCAGTGGGGCTCCTCTGAGCCCTTTGGGCATCCCCAGGAGCTGAGCACTCATGGCACAGCGACAGGGCTTGGGGACAGCAGGACAGGGTGACGCTTTGGCAGCGGTGACCCCACGTCCCTGCTCTGTGTCCCCCAGGAGTGGGGCAAAGGGACAAAGTTTGGGGACGGCGCTGGCACCTGGCGCAGTTCCCCTGTGCTCCATGGTGCATTTGTGCCCCCCTAACCCCAAGCCCAGGGGGTTCCAGACCCTGGGACACCCCCAGGGGACACCATGGCTGGG